GAACAGGATTTACAACAACGTGGCCAAGAATGACCTAAATAACTTCAAATTGGGCAGCTGCCGCAAATGCAACTCAGCATACGCTTGGATTCGCTGGTCGCCATTGTAGATCGTTGTTTGATAAACGTGCAGTTTAGGAAGGATGCAATTTAGATCGTCAACTAATGCTATGATAATGAACTCATGGATGAGTTTGAAAAGTGCATAGATCTACCGCAAATCTTCCCGGAACCCCGAGATTCCATACAGTAAAATATCACACAAGCGATTTTTGCAAGAGTACAGGATCTTCTCCTTCATGGTATTTCAATATTGCTTATCGCATACTAGCTTATTGCGTACTCTCAACTTAGTATTCTAGATGCACTTATTAATTAAGAGCTTTCGATGCCTGTACCATTTTGGCATTAGTATAATTGTGTGGCAAGTACAATCATACTCTATGTCCCGTGCATGTTGAAAGATATTTTTCCACAACTTTTCGTTCCCGATATGTTAGTGGTAACTCGTATGCAGCCGTTGAAGTTTGAATTGCTGTTATTAGTAACACAAACCAAGAGTTACAGAAAGTAAAACCCTTATAAATTTTTATTAAATTCATCCTAAATGTGTACTTTCACCAAGGGGTAAGTCACTCAGCACATTGTGCCGAAATTAGATTCGGCACAGCTTGGGCACATCGATCGGCACAATTTCGTAAGCATTGGATTGTTGTAAATAAAATGGGAGCACTACTGGACAACTGTCATTGAAGTTGTTCACAACATTACGTGCTCTTTGACTGTATATTCAGGAACATTCTCTAATTGAATATACCAGAGGGACTCAGACCAGCAGTTCACTTATCGGTTCACTTATAGATCTAAATACGAAATGTAGGTTCTAGAGTAGGCTCAAGAGAAAGAGGCAGTAAATCAGACCCCATTAGTACCCTTAATTTAAATAATCGTGCAACTCACACAAGTCATATTCATCATCCTCTATAATTGGTCAAAAACAATATCCCCCACCGGTTCTAACTCTTACCAGCGGCTGATAGACCGTTGCTTTCACATCGCGAAAGGCTAGGATTCCTGTCTTCCTTTGTGGGCATTATATTGCCGGGTTGGGTATTTTACAAACAATCGCAGCTTGCTCTACGACCGGCACAATCGGCACACCTGCGGCACACTTGCAGCACACTGAAAAAACCTACCAATAATAACTCACGGGTTACTCCTACATGTATGCAACCTAAATATCATCATGCATAAAGCATAATACCTAATCTTGAGAAGGAAATCATCAGCAGAGTGGCAGAAGTTCAGCGAGATGATTTCGTTCTACTCCCCGACGAAACATGACATAGGAGACAACAAACTCAGCTAGCTCGTTTCTCGATTTTTTTTGTGAAATAGGTTGAGAGAGTGAAACCAGAGTTCTCTTTGGAATCGTTCGGGAACTTTTATTCTCATTTCGATCGCGATTTTTGCATAGTTAGTTCTTCAATGAAATAATTCTCGGAAGAACAGCGAAAGAATTTTTCTTTTAAAATGAACTTTCCAACACTGTTTTAGCGAAGACTATAAATCAAGAAGACTGGCAACTGTTCCCTTCTCCCATACAAGTGTCAAACGTCACTGATCACAGCGCCTCTGTCAATCAAAGGTGGAACTTTGAAGCACAAGTGTTAGTGAGATTGCTCATAAACAGTGACTATGTGTGTGACCTAATGTCACCGAAACGAATAATCATTACACGGTACTCGTTGTTGATTTGATTTGATTTGCTCTACAAAATTTCACAGCAATTTGTATCCTAATCCCAGCAAGCCGGTGGTTTTCCAACTCCAACCCGAAAAACTTGTCATGGTGGATCAAGTAGAGGATTGAAACTCGGATCGATACCTAGTGAAAGTAACTTTTACTTGTGTGCGATGAACCGAAATATTGTATACTTTGCCTGTTGGAAGCAATCAATTATAAGGAATAGGCGGCTTCCATCTCCGTTGAGTGAACTACCGTCATTCGGAAGGTGCTGAAAATTCAAGGATTCAAAAAGAAGAACGATCCGGTACCTACATCACGATCCAACGGAAGTCGTAGCAGGATCTAATGTTGGAGAAAATGAAAATGAAAGGTTGAAGGACTACAATCCCAAACGGTACGTATTGATAAAGAATATATTTCCATTTTAGATGTTGTCAGAACATGAAACCACCGGATAGTGATCCTCGTTGCTAAGTTGTTGAGCGTCACAACTTAACTCCCCCCGCTGTGGCCAGGTGCCAAAGTCGTGCGGAACGGGCATACATTTTACTAATGCACTATACGAATGCCCATAAATGCATCACTAAAGGCACACGAGTGGAACTTCGGATCAGAAAGCGGCTCCACTTGTCATTTGCGAACACTAGCGCACCTAGCGGTAGAAGGCATCTTCTGCCTGTAGTTAAGATAGGCAGCATGCTATGATAGTGTGAGTGCACATAGAAACCCCATGTGGAACGCTACCACAACACATTGCTTGTTGAGCAGAAAAACGATCCACTTTTTGATTCATCGATTTGTTTGTACTTCCCCTTGTTCTGTGCTAAAGGGCTTAGGAAAAGTGGAAGATAATTCTGAGATACCAAATCGAGGCAGGTCCCACCATCATTGTGAATGGCGTTTCACTTCTTACGACAATCATAACAAAACCAATAATTGACAGCTATATATTTCTACCTATGTGTGTGAATGTACTCGTGAATTAACACACACCACCATTCACAGGTTCCACTTTTGCTCAGAAGAGGCGTTACCGTTGCTGTCTCCTGATTTTTGGCAGAGTTGCCAGTCTTCTTGATTTGTAGTCTTCGGTTTTAAGCTGCTGCTGGGTGCTCATTCATAATGTCATCAATGTTCTAAATCTTAATAAAATGTTGAAAGATAACGATGAAGACAGACAAAGACATTGTTTCGATCCCGTTCAATGCAATACCCAGTTCACACTAAAGCGTATATCAGTTGATATAGCTTATCTTGCTATAAGTATCCATAAATCACGTGACATACATTATACACATGACATGTGATATCAAGATGATCTTTATCACGTGATGCACGCTGTAGTGTGACCTGTAGATCTTTTTCTAGAAACACCCGGCCAGGATTGCATTCTTCAGATGTATTCTTATTGAAACAGATGATTCTCAATTAAGTTTTAAAATGTGATTATTATTCTTTAAGGTTGAAATTATAGAGCATTTAAAAATACCACTCCTCTCTCTCATAGATCGCAGGAAGTTTACAAGTACTTCATATGGAGTGATCACTAGGCCTTCCAATTTTCCTCTTGTCAATAAATATGTTTATGCGATAACGGTTTGCGTAAGCGTCTGTGGTATTTTGTTAAATCCAGACTGATTCGCCGATTAAATCCAGACAATCGCCGATTTCTTGCGAATAAAAGCTTAATATTGGAAACCTTGTTGGAAACTAACAACACAATCAGGTAGAGGAACTAGTGAAACAATTCAAGCTGAACATTGCAGTAGGTCCTAAGTAACATTGATCGATTCTCTTCGTCGACATAACCGTTTCTTGTTGTGTTTGTCGTATTAGATGCTAGATAAAAGCTTCTTTTATCGATCTGTGTGCTGAAAATACCTGGGAATGTCTTTACATGGCCGTGCGAATACAAAGAGAAAGTCGATGAAGAGAATCTGTCAATGTTACTTAGGACCTAATGCAATGTTCAGCTTGAATTGCATGTTAGAGGGATGCTTTGGTTGCAAATCAGTGCTGGGAAATGTGCATGATAGAAGGTGCTTGCACAGACAAACAGACATAACACATTGAATATTTCTCACCGTAAAACATCGTCGCTAAAGCACTACACACCGCCATCTGTTGAGTGCACTCTGACGGGAAGTACGCTCAATAGATGGCGATAGTGTGTAAACATCAAACGGAAGGCAATCAACTATGTGCGCCACAACCAACCAAGAAACATTTGAATTTACCGTTTTTTTTTCCTCTGTCTTACTGCGACCAGTAATTTGATCTATTATAGTATATTCCGTATCCTTAGTTTAGTGCAAGTCGTATCACTCCATTTTGCCTACATCGCAAGGAATCGATTCTAATTGAAATGTCCCGCTATTTATACCCTTCGAATAGTGAGATCACACTCCAAAAACGCACCCCTTTGCCAGTCAAAATTGAATTCCTTAGCAACAAAATTAAGCAATGACACCGATAATGACCATGCATCAGAATGTTAGTCCTAACCACTTCAAACTAGGAAACAACGAATAGAAGATTAGGAATCACGTAGATGAAGACTAACCCATTTTTTCCTTGTTTCGAGCTCATCCTCGGTGATGCAACCCGAGTACTTATCACTATTAACAAGGCATAAAACGTAGCAAGGACTAAGATGTGTCCTTTGATTACTGAAAAATCCTGTTCCTCTAGATTGAAGTAGTGAGAACTAGGAATCGGTGTTAGATCTTACATCCCGTAACGTACCACGAGAAGGTGATCTACCCACGTTACGGGGCAAATTGACCATTAAATGCGTGATCGACGAACAACTTACGAGTGTTATGTCTGGTTGTCTGTGATGCTTGTGTGCATGCAACATTCACTTGACGAAATTTTTGAAGTATTTTCCTTTAAGAGTTATGCCCGTTTGTCTGTGATATAAGCGTTTTAAAATTTCTCTTCCACCTTGCCATGCAAAATTTTGAAATCTTCATCATCGAGCCATTTTCAAGATGGCCACGAGAGGCCAAGTTTAATTGGCCTATAACAATCAATGTATTTGAATATTTATAAAACAACCATCTTACGATCGACTGAAAATCACATGTAAATACTTTTTTCAACGCTATTCCCCATTACGATGCACCTCCAAAACACTTCTACACCATTCTTCCATATAGCACACGGGCTCCATTTGCGCACATTCACTCACGCGCGCCTCACAGCGCATCGCAGCAATCCATGTAAGTTCGGTCGGTATGGGTTACTTACCATCGCAGATGCTCCATTGTTGAGTATTTTTGCACTTCCCTGTCCATCCCAGTGACCGTGGTATTCCAGCGGTTGGACGCAGTCCTTGAAGCTGGTGGATCGCTGGCTGAGCACGATTGGCGATTGTACTGGGGCTTTCGTGGTCGTAGGCATCTTTTTTGTATGATTATAATATCAGTCAGTCGGTCGGTCAACACACCACACGATTGAAGGCTGAGAGACAACAAAAAATAGGTTATTCCCGGACGGCAGTTGATTGCGGAATAGAACTTCTTTCAGCTATGATAAACTAAATGTGCGCCGCGGTTGGTTGCTTGTCAGGATTGCTTTTTTACTTAAATATTGCCAATCTTATCAACATCGTTTTTTTTCGGAAGGAATTACGTTATCTGCTACTGAAATTTAATTTATCTCGAGATTTGAAAGTTGAACATTTTAAGTTACCCAGAGTTCGAAACGGATGGAAACAAGCGGTTTTACTCTGACTGATTAGGCTAAAGACAAGGGTGTTAATTTTATCACATTAGAGTTCAATCTACTAGTCAAATTCCTCTCTCAAACACCCACGAAAACAGACAATCCGGCATGTACACAAAGAGAACGCACGCTGCTATCTTTCCTGGCCTACTGTGAGATAGTCTTTTATCGTGCCGGTTTTGCTCTTTAGTGTGTAGTCACGTGCTCGCGTACCTGTTTACTCAAATGACGTCATGAGCTTCGCTTATGAGCGAGTAATTTTGCCACGACAAAGTTTCCTCCAGCCACACACATAAATAATCCGCAACCTAATCCAACCGTCAACATCAACAAACACCAGGGTTCAGGGTGAATAAGGGAAAAAATAAATACAACTCACCTATCAGAAATCATCAACAGAGCACCGTCATTATCACAAAGAAGAGTTCGCCACAGTGAAATTTGCTCACGTTTCGCCGTGTGTTGCTGTCGAATATGAACGCCGAGGCGCAGCACCACGTATTTATTGACTACGCCACAAGATGCTGATAACGACCCTCAAAAACAGCCGTCATTGATTACCTGGCATAATCCTAAACTAACTAACTTTCTTCTACCTCAAACAATAGCTTCACTTATTTTTCTTCTACGCGTAAATCAAGTTCAAGGATGGCTCATTCATAGATCCACTATTGACTATTGACTTCCTTTACCGCAGTAGGCGTATTTGACTGCACTCTGTTTTGGCTTTCAATTCTATCGATGTCACCGTAGCGACCGCACAATGCACCGAAACTTGCTCGTCGCTAAGTCTGCCTGGACTAGTTTGCTTCCTTCCGATGATGGGAAGATGATGTCTGATGTCTGATGTCAAACCGAACGCAACTGCGAGCGAGAATATGTAGGTATGGGTGGTATGGGATAGTTTTCTGTTCGCTAAAGCTTACACACCTGCACTACTAATAGGGTATTTAGGTAACATATAAACATGCTGTGTACAGAAACGCAACGCAGACGACAATGTTTCCAATGCTATACTGTGGAGCTGTGTATGTTGGCGAGTTATTGATTGCTGCAGACTGCAGTTCATTCACGCCATGCCAACCAGCCCAGTCGAGTTGGTGGCAAGGCAATAATGCGTTCGAATTCGAAATGCCGACGATGATGCCTACTACATGGATGCATGTGCATGGGTGTTGCGAGTTGAGACAGTGTTGTGTGAGCGAAGCATGCTCACTAGGGTGGCCCAAAATAACACCTCTCCTCCAAATGACAGCCGATGATGTTACAAAAAATAAAAACTTGTGTATGGTGGCAGCTCTGAAAAACGTGATTTAAAGGTAGCTTCGATAAGATTTTTGTAAAAGTCGATTTTTCATTAGTCATTGTCAAGGGGCAAGACAACTTGAATGTAGCGTCGAAAATATTTGAGAATTTGTAAGAACTAATACATGTAAAAGATAGAGCTTTTTGTTCTTAAGTCCAAGACTGTGTTCCATTTGGTGAATTTAACTTAAATTTGACACTTCGAAAGTAAATTATGATGTTCGGAAATCCCTCTGTTGTTGATCGTCCGACTTTCGTCGTCCGAAGGTGTTTGTCAAAATAAATTCTAAAAATTTTAAGGTGTCCCGCCCTTGGTCATTGCTGAACCACACGTTAAACAACATTTTTTTACACGTTCTTTTGGGTGCATACTATACTATATAAGAGCGAAGACATCATATCTGTTTTGCCAGAATCCAAGCGACAGATACAATAGCGCTGCACTTGAGTGAAGAATAGAAAAATGAGTAAATACACAAACCTTTCTTCTGAGGATGTAATCTTTGCTATCAAATTCGTTCGAAGCATTTACCTTTGAGCGGCAGATGACGCGATTGTACTTGTCTCATAGCGTTCGTATGAGAAAATGGAAGAGTTGCCAGTCTTCTTGATTTGTTGTCTTCGCTTAAAGGCACTAAGGATATGAAGATAATTTACAGCAAGCATGCAGATGAAGGTTTAGCTGGCTTCAGTGATGCGGATTGGGGAAACGACATCGAGACGCGACGGTCCATTACTGATTACGTTTTTATGAAGTTAGGTGGACCAATTTCATGGTATTGCCGAAGACAATCCACAGTAGTCTCGTCAACAACGGAAGCAGAATACATGGCAGTATCTGCAGCAGTACAGGAAGCTATCTGGTGACGAGGACTACGACAGGAGTTATCCGGCGTTTCTAGAAGGTTACGATCTTTTGTGACAATAAGAGTGCGATGCATCTAGCTGAAAGAGAGGTTGGTTACTCACCACGCAGCAAGCATATCGATATTCGTCATCACTGCGTTCGGGAGAAAATTGATGAGAACATGATCGGTTTGCAGCAGGTGGCCAGTCAACAGCAAGTGGCGGATCTTCTAACCAAAACGATTCCGGCTCCCAAATTCGAAACCGAAAGACGTGCTATTGGAGTTAAAAGCATGTTCGGTTAAGGGGGATGTTCGCGTAGTAACCATCGAATTAGTGATGATCAAAGTATGTCAGCACTATATGACGTGACACTACAAGACAAGTTGTTCATCAATTGTCCCACTAACAACAAAAGATTTAGTAACGATTGAAGTAACTTAGGATATTTTTAATGATTTTCAATCTCAGGCTAAGGAAAGCTAAGTGGTTCACCTCTGAAAAGTATCAATCAGTTTGCATACACAGGTCAAGGCTATTCCCTGTTCATTTCGGTTCCCCATTCTCGAGGCTGAGTGCCCACCCTGCAACCTACTAACTACTGAACTAAACTAGTTCCACGGAAGAGGAATAGCGAAAATTATTAATGAAAGTAAACGGAAGGCTACAATTGGCATAGCACTGGAAGGAGACGGCGGGAAGACATGCTTGATTCATAATTCAAATGTTCATTTTTCCCCTCATCATCATCGATCGATGCACAGAGCAGTTTTTAAAATGCATCATTAGATCTAAAACGTGAAACATGTCATGTTAATCAACGGGAAGCTTATCGCCCGGAAGTTAACCATGGTACTAATGGTTCTGTGTCAATTTTCCCCCAAAAATCACTGCTTTTCTTCACTGGGCTTTGGCAAAACCTTGAGGTGTATTCCCTCTAACCCCCACTATGGAAGAACTCTCTCTACAATGTCGCATTTATGGTCATTGCAGACAGCTTTAGTCCGGGAGTTAGAAGGTGATAACTCTATTGCAGATCCAGCAACCCATTTCAGAATGTCTGGATATTCACGCCCATTCCGAGGTTACTTTCACTTACAATAAGCCTCGCATGTATGCATCTCCGTTATCAAATGGATATTGGTTATACACAGGGGATGGATATGGCTGTCATATCGCTTAAGTTTGCTGCGTACCGAACATCTGCAACGTTGTTAACGGTACCCTGATATGTTTTGTTGTTTTGATGTTGAGTACGTGTATGCAGCTATATGTCATACCCCTGGTTATACATACACACTTCCAGGATCGAAAATATTCCTTTCAAACCTGGCATGTATTTACTTTAATTTTGATATTTAATTTGTAAACAATAATTTGGACTCACCATATTCTGCTCCGCCGCCGTTAATTGCTTCCTTTGGAATCCCTTGGACTGTTTCTCTAACGCTTCGTGTTTCATTCCGCATTTCACCGGCAATTTTTTCCGTAGATCGTCCTTGGTTGGTTCTAACATGATACCGCCTTGTCCGGGTTTTTCTTGTTTTCCGAGGGAGATGAATCCGCACTAATTTCCATTCCTGGTTCGATGTTGACTCCTTCCTCGCTGGTCGGTTTCATGTCCACCATCGGTCACTGAATTGCCATGGTGATCTGGGACGAGGCTCACGTCCAAAGTCGCTGGTCGACCGAGCGCTCCGTGTGCGAAAATAGAACGAAAGAAATACGAAAGGGATCAGTTGCAAGACGTGACAGTTTCATCACATTCCCCAGCTAACCATACTCAAAAAGTAAGAATATACAAGCTATATTGCGTCTATATGGTTACTTGGGTACTCATATGGGCGTCAGAATGGTTCATCGGTTGCGAAGTGAAGTATTTCTGAAAGTGATGCGTTACATTTCTCAATGTTTTGATTTTATCCTAACGTTACTTCAATCTTATATCACAGACAAACAAACACAACACATTGAAAATTTCTCATAGTAAACCCTACCGCCATCTGTCGTATACACTGTGATAGGCAATACACTCAACAGATGGCTGTAGTGTGTAAACGTCAAACGCTAGGGAATTGATTGTGTGCGCCACAAGTGGCGGTACTACCAGCTAAGAAACATTTAAATTTACCGTTAAAAGTGATTTCGATGAACATTTTAAGAGTGTTATGTCTGCTTGTATGTGATCATACCTTCACTATCGCAATTTCGGGTAACCCGCGAAAGTACTTGCATTTTTCTGAGGCACTTTGGATCAAAATGCAACCACTCTCTCATACTCGAAATAAGCCACGACCAAATTGGCACAACGACGCCCTATACGCCTCTGACCGAAGCTGCTTAAATGCTGGATTAAGTCACAGTGTTTTTTTTTTAATAAATCCCATATTGAATTGGATTTATTTCTATGGGTATGCACGTTTGGAAAGTATCATCACAAAGATTCTGCACTCGGTCTACAGCTTGTGGGCGGGAAGTGTTGTTTTTATTTTTGTTTTTTTAATCTATGTATAGAGTCACTTCTTAGAAATACGAAGCGAAAAACAAATCAAGAATTAAGCACAAGACCTTCAAGAAAACTAACAACACGAAGTCTGAAAATGGCAATGTTTCATTCAAAACGTTAAGTAGGGGAAATAAATGTAATGCCCGCTTTAATGCTCTTAATTTGGGCCCATACATAAATTCAACAATCGACTAAATTTTCAAAAGCAACCAAAAATATAAATATTATGGGGCTAATGCTCCGTCAGATTATACCGTTAAATATTGGTTTCGAGAGTTTCGTGGTGGCCGCAAGTCCACTACCGATCAGGTTACAGAGGACAATGTAAAAAAATACATGAAATGGTGTTGGCAGACCGGAGCGCGAGCTAGCAGATACCGCAAAGATTAGTACTGAGAGCCTGCCGCTGGCTGCCGCGCAAGCTAACTCCTGACCAAAAACACGAACGCGAGAGCACTTCGAAAGAGTGTTTGGACTTGCTGATGCAGAATCGGGCGGACTTTTGGCGTCGATTGGTAACTGTTGATGAAACCAGGATCCACTATTACACTCCATAGAACAGAATGAGTGCCCGGCAATGGACTGAAGCCGGCACGAGTGCTCCGAAGCGGCCGAGGGAGGCTCGATGAGTCGGAAAGGTTATGGCGTCGGTTTTCTGGGATTGTCATGACATACTCTTCGTGGACTACCTCGAAAAAGGAAAAACCATCAACAGCGAGTATTACTGTGCATTATTGGAGTGATTGAAGGCCGAAATCGCCACATCTAAATCTCAAGTTTATTATTTATTATTATTAATTTAATTTATTTGATAAGGCTCAAACGAATTAACTTTACACAGTCGAGGATTCTTGGTCACTATACAATACATCTTAAAAATATAGTCAAAAGGTACAACACAATAAACACTATCCAAAAAGCCTCGTCTATCAGAACTGGAGTCGCTTCCAGAGGTTTCATTGTATGACAGTTACGCCATCGAGGGGCAGAGCGCAAAACGTGGTCAGCACTCACACACTCATCACGAAACGGTTGCTTTCCAAAGTCGACGCATCGACCGAAAGAACTGCTGATGAAGAACAATGAGGAAGACCATACAATGGTTGCTGCCGAGAAAACAGACGATCGCGTGGCACACATCGAGAGTGGCCTGCTTTTGTCGACAGCCGAATGAACACTGAAA